GGTGTGGTTGATATTGCCAGTGACACTCCATTGGAGAAAACTGATTTTCTCTTTCCCAGCAGGTATCAATTGCAAATAGCTTCTGGGTTAGAGGTGGTACTTTCTATTTCCTTTTTCTGTGCTGGGATTTTGTCTGGTTTGCACATTTGCAGGTCTTCTGCATACTGTCACAGTCTCTGTGAGTTCATGTCCCTGTGTCCTTGGTGTCAACCACGACCTCTGGCTCTTACATTCATTCCACCTCCTCTTCTGCATAGACTCCTAAGTCTTGAGGGGAGAGCATTGGTGAAGAGATCCCTCAGGACTGAGTGCTCCAAAATCTCTCATACTCTGCATGCTGTCCAATTGTGTGCCTCTGTGTTAATTACCATCCACTGAAAGAAGCTTCTCTGATGAGGATTGCGCTATGCCCTGATCAATGGGTAGAGCAGTATATCATTAAGAGACATTTTAATGCTATGATCCTTCAGCATAATAATAGAATTAGAATAGAAGCCCCTAGACCCGTGGTTCTACACCTTCCTAATGGTGCAAACCCTTTAATACATTTCCTCATGTTGGAGTGACCACCAACCATAAAATTATTTTCATTGCTGCTTTGTAACTGTAATTTTTATTGTTATGAATCATAATGTAAATATCTGGTATTTCCAATGTGACCCATATGAAAAGGTTATTCAACCCCAAAGGGTCATGACCCACAGGTTGAGAAGTGCTGCCCCAGACCCATGACCTATCTAGTCTCAGGTTCCTGGTCACTTTAGCAGTGTCGGGTATGGGTTCCCTCTCATGGAGTGGACCTTAAATCCAACTTTAAAAGGAATTGGTTACTTCCATAACATTTGTGCCACTATGACACCAGTATATCTCCTGGAAAGGTAACTCCTATAGGTTAGCAAGGTTTGTAGGCGGGTGATATTTATGATCACTTTCCTACTCCAGTCTCATGAGGAGTACCTTTCAGTACTATGAATACCAGTCAGCAAGAGTGAAGCTTCTAGTTAGGTACCTGGTAAACTTCTCCGTGTTCAATGACATAGTTAAGTATTGTCCTCAGCAATAGAGCCTTCCATTAGGTTGTAGAGAGTAACTGATGGTTTTGACAATAGCCCATAGTGTTGTGGGGCTGTGTATGGGCTGTTCCTGGCCAAGGAATCAACAGCTGCAACCCATTCCTGGCCCTGGTCTTGCTTGTTGGCATATGATATAATGTTGGCATTATATCCCCCATTATATGATGACTCCATTTAAATTCCTTTCATATATGTATATATTTTAGGAAAAGTACCCAGAGGCTTAATATTACTTACAAATGCTTGGCTGATAGCTCAGGTTTATTACTAACTAGCTCTTACTACTTAAATGAACCCATTTCTATTAATCTATCTATTGCCATGTGGTTGTGGCATTACTTCCTTTTCTACAAGTCTTGCTTCCTCAACGGCTGGCACGAACCCCCGCATTTTCCACTCTTCTTCTCCTCTATCTCTGCTTGGATTTCCCACTGGCTCTATCTGCCAGAGTTGAGGAAACTGCCAGCTTCAAAGGAAAAATGTGGTGATATTTGGTTTGTGCTCTAACAAATAAAGCTTGCCTGGAGATCAGAGGGCAGAGCTAGCCACTAGTTAACCACAGAGGCCAGGCAGTGATGGCTCACAACCTTAATCCAAGCACATGGCAGGAGGAAACAGGAAGTGCTATGGGTGGTCAGAGAGAGGAACATAAGGTGGGCAGAGACAGGAGCTTGGTCCTTTTCGGCTGAGGAGTTGCCGAGGTAAGAGGTGTCTGTGGCTGGCTGATCTTTGTCTCTGATCTTTCAGCATTTACCTCATATCTGGCTCCTGGTTTTTTATTATTAAGACCAATTAGATTCGTGTTACAGAAAATGTCTTACAGTAGCACACAATGTTAACTATATCGTAAAGTATTCAAATAAAATCCCTCCCACTGTTATCCCCTGAGGTCCTGACTAACCAGCTGAAGCAGTAACTTCAAGCATCCACTTGTCACTTCCCTGACTGTGGGATTTGATTTTTAGTGCCTCAGATATTTTCTCACTGTTCCCATTAAAGGTCTACCACCAGATCCTGTGTCAGAAAACAAAAGAAAATACAAACAAGAAAGAAGAGGCTGGACCAACGAGATGTCTCAGTGCATCAAGGTACCTGCCACCAACACAGTGCCCTCGGTGGATCCCTGGAACCACATGGTGGAAATTGGAATTGGAAGGAACCAATTCCCAAAAGTTGTCCTTTAATCTCTATCTGTGTATGACCTGGCACATGGAGTGACTACTTTTATGTCAGCCGGACACAGGCTAGAGTCATCAGAGAGGAAGGAGCCTCAGTTGAGGAAATGCCTCCATGAGATCCAGCTAGAAGGCCTTTTCTCAATTAGTGATCCAGGGGAAGGGCCCAGCCCACTGTGGGTGGTTCCCTTCCTGGGCCTGGGTTCTATAAGAAAGCAGGCTGAGCAAGCCATGGGGAGCAAGGCAGTAAGCAGCACCAATCCATGGCCTCTGCATCAGCTCCTGCCTCCAGGTTCCTGCCCTGTTTAAGTTCCTGCCTTGAGTACTTTTAATGATGAACTGTTACATGGAACTATGAGAGAAAT